AGAAAAAACAAAACAAAACAGAACCATTCATTGGCCTGTGAGACTGCCTGGAAAATAATGGTGTTGTATGTCTGATACATCTAATTGTCTCAGCAACAGGATGGGAAATTCCAAGAGAGAAAGGCTACAAGTGGGAGGAGCATGACAGAGAACGAGAGGGAGCTACCCAACCAGCCAGAGATAAACCTGGGCCACTGTGAGAGATTAATGCAGGAATATAATCCCCCAAATGAGCTGTAATCCAACTGCCTAATTATTCCCACAAGCCCCTGAGACTACAGATTAGTGGAATTAATATCACTGCCTTGCAGCAGACAGAAAGAGAGAATGCACAGAGTGCAAAGAGACATGTGTCTTTAGCCACAACTCATATGCTAAATCATTCAGGCACACGCATCTGAATTTTGTTTTTCCAATAATTTACAACAGACTTTTTGAGGCGGGTTTGATCTAAAACACTGCTATTTATATTCATATTGAAAATGTGTTTGTCAAGCGCAAAGCGTCTACATATGATTTGGAGGGTCACAGCTAGAAATTGGACCTGTTCTCATTTTGTACAGAAAAGCCATCCGACAATCTGTGGTCCGTCTGTCCCCATTTCAGGGTTTTTGTACCTTTTGACCAATGAATCTCCAAGACTAATTACTGGACAAGGATTTTTAAAAATAATTTTATGGAGATTACACTCCCGCAAAGAGCAACACCCAGTCAATGAAATATTTTAGAGATAGAAAAATGTATAATCACTCAAGATTTCCATGACCTTCGGACAACTTCTTTGAATTTCTTTGACTTTTCCAGCCCTGGAAATCACCATTTTAAAATCCTCTGGACATTCCAGGCTTTTCGTGATCATGTGAAGCCTGATATTTGTATGCATGGCTCTGACAGCTGAATACATCCACCCAACAATTCACTTTTAGGCCGTCTTAAATGACTATTTAAAAACAGATCTTGCCTCCAAAACGGAGATTTCCCCTGAATGCTAAATCACACTGACAATGCAAGAATATGCGAGCATTTCCTTTACAAAAATGAACACAAGAAAACCATCAAGGGCAAAGAATATTCAGGAAAAAACAGGTTAGTTTTACAGGTTAGTGCATAAGGAAGTACCTACAAATACTCAAATGTTACAATTTAAACTGCTAACAAAGCAAGTAACATTATATTGGTCACATGGTTTCATTTGGTTCAAAATTTAATTTTCAAATGCAAACCCACTGTTAGGGTTGGGTATCGATTGGGTTTTTTATGATACCGGTGCCAAATCGATACTTTTAAAACGGTACCGGTGCCTAAACGGTGTCTGAACCGATACTTAAAAAAAAAAAACGATGGATAACATTAAAGAACATTACAAATATTAAAAATAAATATACATAGCATTCACATGCTCCTTGGATGCTCTCATTTCCCGAGTTGTGCTTCCCTTACTCTAAGGCTAATAAATCTTATAAAGACAGAGAGAGCGAAGAGAAAAGAGAGAGAGAGAGAGAGAGAGCGAGAGAGAGAGCAAGCGCTCCAGGGAGCATGGCAACTGTCACACACACATACCAACACGGTCCCATTGCAGCACATCAAAGTGCATATTTACTGATGTGTGCTTTAAACTACCATCAGGAATATAAGGCATATCCAAAGAGACAGAGCAGAGGGATAAAGATGGATGTGGAGGGGGGAGAAACGAGAGAGATCTTTCAATCAACCTTCAGCAGAGAAGCAGTGCTGAATCAGATGGTAAGGTGTAGGCATGCTGAATACTGATCTGAGACAGCCTGTGTGCTGAAACACAAGGACACTCTGCTATCAATCCCCACTGCGCTTCTCCCAGCTTGTCTGGATTGGTGGTTTTAGAGAGATGGCCAATTGTCTGCTGGTCACCCACTGGAAAACCAGCTAGACCAGCTAAGCCCAGCTGTTTTTTTCAGCAGTGTAGCCTTGAATTGTCTCGTGGTTCATGGGGTCCCAAAATTTGTTCTACACACCACTCATTTACAGGCACGCAACAAAAATCGTATTTTTGGTGTATCTGACTCAAATATTCATCACACTTTTTGATCAATTGAATCTTTCATCATTTGTAAAATGACAGTGGGGACAGTCAGTCCTAAAGATTGTAATTGGAAGCACTGTGAACAAAGCCATAGATCGATGGTTGGTTGTCAAGAGAAAAGAAAAAACAAAACAAAACAGAACCATTCATTGGCCTGTGAGACTGCCTGGAAAATAATGGTGTTGTATGTCTGATACATCTAATTGTCTCAGCAACAGGATGGGAAATTCCAAGAGAGAAAGGCTACAAGTGGGAGGAGCATGACAGACAACATACTTTTAAAACGGTACCGGTGCCTAAACGGTGTCTGAACCGATACTTTTTAAAAAAGAGCCACATAAAAAACGAAGGATAACATTAAAGAACATTACAAATATTAAAAATAAATATACATAGCATTCACATGCTCCTTGGATGCTCTCATTTCCAGAGTTGTGCTTCCCTTACTCTAAGGCTAATAAATGTATTTCACGATCTGGGTCATTATTTAATACAAAACCACACATAATGTTTCTACTGTATTCTCTGTCAATCACTCTGATTTTTAGTTAAAATGAGTGAACTGACTGAGTGCGGTCTGTCACTGTCTTTAATCAGTTCTGGGAATTACTGTATGGTATGCCACATGCACTGTAATATGTTTTATATTAAATATTAAATTTTCAAATAAAAATAGCAGTATAATCGTTTAATAAATTATGCGTTCATATGTGTTAAGGGCTAGATTTCCGCTGGAGGAAACAGCTGTGGTGTGATGAGGGGTGAATGCAGCGAAAACTTTACAGTAGATGGGAAACCGATTGCTCCCTCGTGACCTTTTGTGAACTGTATTTATGACAAAGAACTGCACAGATACAGATATTCTAACAATCTATCGATAAACACACACCTTGTGTCCTCTGTTTGAGTCTGCTCGCGCTGCGCCGCCGCGGTCTGCGGATTGAAGAGCGCGCTGAAAGATGGGGAGGAGACGAAAAGTCTGCCGCCGTTTTCATATGAAATTTAAATGTTGTTACTATGTTACTATTTTTGAAAAGTCAACAGTTCTATAAAGTCTGGCAAGATAAACCCATGCTTATTTGTTGCATCAAAGCAAAACGAATCCGTGCTCTGAGGGATATTGGAGCGATAAGATAAGGGAGAAAGATGGGGAGGAGACGAAAAGTCTGCCGCCGTTTTCATATGAAATTTAAAGAGGACTGACTCTGAGGTGATCATGAATTTGTGTACGGTTTATGGAGCTAATCGCTATAGCCTCTGCTAAAAATGGCCTAGCGACGCCCATGCGTCTTACGTCCATTTCAAAGAACCAGGACAAATATTTCAATCGATCGCTCAGGCATACATGTGACACCGAAATGAGGCACCGAAATCTGCGTTCTGATTCGGTTCTAGTACATACCGGTTACATAGGCACATATTGGCACCGGGTTTCGGTACCCAACCCTACCCACTGTAATTTAAGATGCAGACACATTAGTAAAATTTTGGTGAATCTTTACAAAAAGGTTCAAACTAAGCAGCTTTCTGTTGGTCAACGCAACGAATATGTGTGAACGAACATGAGTGAAATCTGCAATTTTTGCCCTGACTTGAAACTCTTAATTGTGCAGATTTAAAGATGACTGAATTTTGCCCAAAACATCTAGAAAGATGAATGTATTACTGCATGAAACAGGCAAAATTGCCAAAAATGACCTCACAATCATTGTCTGCCTTGATTCGTGCTACTGGGGGGGGGTGTTACTATTTTTGAAAAGTCAACAGTTCTATAAAGTCTGGCAAGATAAACCCATGCTTATTTGTTGCATCAAAGCAAAACGAATCCGTGCTCTGAGGGATATTGGAGCGATAAGATAAGGGAATATGGGAAAGCCTTGCATGAACTGTAATGACTAGAACGTACTCGTTAACCATAGCATTTCTGTGCAACGGATGTGGGCCGGCGCATTGAAGGAGGCAGGCATGCCCACATTGCTTGTCATCTTAAATCAGTCTGAAGCTGCAGCTGGTTCTTGATGGCCATGAGTGGATAAGGAAAGCTTGTGCCAATGAGTCCCGCTGGTATTTTCTGAACTGTTCTGCTGTAATAACCCGTTGCCTTCACGGTGGCACAGGGATCAGTAAAAAAAACTGGATCCATTACAGAGAAATATTTTGATGGCAGAGCAGCTCCATTTCTAGGTATCCAATTCTCTACTGCAACAGACTGTTAAAATTAGTTCACTCGGACTACTTGCTGAAATCAGTGTTTTTAGTGTCGAGTCATCAGTGGGTGGGAGAGTGTGTGTTTCTCTGTTGTGTGTGTGTAAAACACAAATGTCTATTTTTTACTCAACTACACAACTGCATGTGGGTGACAAATCAAGACCGTATATTACTGCGGAGGGAATCTAACCTCCAATCGAGAGGCGCTAAGAGCCTGACGGACTTGGCTACTACAACAGTCCAAACACAAACACATACAGGCCTGGGTGCGTTCCCCTACACCCACATCCCTTCATCAAACAGAAGGGGGGAGGCTGATGCAAGCGTTTACACTCAATCCTCTGAAGGAATACAGAGTGACGAGAGAAAGGAGAGAGACTGTGAAGGAATGAAAGGTAGAGAGAGAGAGATTGAGAGAGAGAGAGAGGTGGAGACCGACTGTGCTGACTGAGTGAAAATGTGGCAAAGAACGGATGAAGCCCTTCTCTCTATCCTAATCGCTCCAGCTCCTCCTCTGCTAGGTTATTATCGCCAACTAAAACTATTATCAAGATGAAAAACAGCACTGAAAAAGGTAAGCAAGAATCTGAGCTTGTAAAAAAACAAAATGTCATTGAAACTATAAATGTGCACCACAAAATCTGTATCTTCAGTCAATCACAACATCATTGCACTTTCTGGCTGAAGAACATAGGGAAATCTTCAGCCCTCATGAAATTCCCAATTGTGTGGATTCTTACTGAAATGTGTAAGAAAATTTTTTTTTAAATGTGACCACACATTTTGCCGTTTAGAGTGCACATGGATTTAGGTCTATGGATTATCAGCATTAGGGATGGGTATCGTTAAGGTTTTAACGGTATTACTACTCTTACCAATACTGCTTATCGATTTGGTACTTTTAACGGTATTCTTATCGGTACTTTTTGTTACTCCAGTACCAATAGCAGAACCGTTAACGTCAGAGCTTATCGATACCCCGGTCTTTCATAATTTAGCCCCGGGAACGATTAAATACCGGGTTTCGGTACCCATCCCTTAATCAGCATATTGCCAAAAATGTAGATTTCAAATCCAGAATGCGGACAATCTAACATGAGATCTGAGCAGATCCAGTCCATGATGCTGAACCATAAATGGTCCTTTGAATTAATTTGTGCATGATACAGTTCTGTATGTCATCATAGACAAATAGAACAATACATGCTGCTGTTTTAAGTGAAAAGCAAAAAACTATTCTGAAACTGAAAAAAATATTAATATAAAATAAAATATTTTAATATTTATTAAAATATAAATACTAAAATAATACAAAAAGTGCATAGTTATAAATTAAAACTGCTGTTTTCAACTAAACTTGAAAAACAAAAACAAAACAAAAATGAAGACAAAAAAATGTAAGAAAAAATAAATCACCCTTAATTCCCCTTTCCCCTGAATTAGCAGGTTATTACTTCTAGTATGGTCTGCCGTAATCACGGGACATTTAATCATAAAACCCTGAGTCACAAACTCCTTAATTATAAACAGATAGTCATATTCATTTTGTTCATGTTCTCAAGAAGAGATGGAACAAAATACAGTATGACTGATCGGGTAGTTTGCCCCAGAGGAGCTCTGATCATGTAATGCTTCTCTTAATCATCTCACACAGGCGAAGCGTGAAATGTGTCAAGACAAATAAAACACTAGCACAGAGGTGAACAGTCGGAGAAGTGTTTCAACTCCACAGAACTGGTGAGCGCTGGTGAGAAAAGTGCATCCCAACCCAAACCACATCTAAATAAAACTACAGACAACACCCAAAGGACATTGCTTTGCAGAGAAGAGAGGTCTTGGGAAGGGAGATGAGGCTTTGTACAGGACAGCATAAAAAACTAAGCAACTGCACTGTTTGCAAGGCCCTGCCATTCATTATGAAAAAGATAAAGACATCTCTCCAAGCGCCAGAGACCCCCTGCTGCCAAACAAGCAGTTTTCATGCTGGAACTACAGTTCCTGCTCAAACCTTTTCATTGTAAGGGTCAGGATGACTTCTTCAGCATTAAAGAACACAAAGTCAACAAGGCTTTTTCAAGAAATAAGACATCAGAAGGGCTAGTTGGACCCAACCTGATCACTCCTGCAACAGTGCAACACTACATTTACCAACTGTCCCAGGATTTTTGGAGATTTTTTTGTCCTTGTGTACTGTTCCTTGTGTAATATTCTGCCAAAATCTCAAAAGCTTTACTATCTCAGCTAAAATTCATCAGTCTTGACCTGCTACAGATGGTCAAGGATTTGACTTCCTTCAAAGCACTGTCCAAAAACCCACATACAAAGAATCTTTCTAAAAGAATTCTGATCAGAAGTACAATGAGAGTAATTGATGTTGACAGAATTAATTCTGAAAAGTACTCAAAAATAATACAGATGAAAATGAATTCTGCCAACATCAATTATTCTCTCATTATGGCTGCATCTGCCACTAGAAAGACCAGCTGCAGATCATCATTACGACCACAAAGAGGACCATTAACCATCACATGCCATCCATGAATGACATTTGTCTCCAGGACAAGCAGGAGGGGTAGATCACTACCTCCTTTCACACCAAATCTGTGACCCTGGACCACAAAACCAGTCATAAGGTCAATTTTTCGAAATTGAGATTTATACATCATCTGAAAGCTGAATAAATAAAAATGAAAATCTGGAATCTGAGGGTGCAAAAAAATCTAAATATTGAGAAAATCGCCTTTAAAGTTGTCCAAATTAAGTTCTTAGCAATGCATATTACCAATCAAAAATTATAATGATTTTTGGCATAAAAGAAAAATCAATAATTTTGACCCATACAATGTATTTTTGGCTATTGCTACAAATATACCCCAGCGACTTAAGACTGGTTTTGTGGTCCAGTGTCACATCTCTCTCTTCTCCCAGATCTCTCTTATGAGAAACAGTTTGAGTTAATCAAGACAAACTACCTGAAAATGTAGTGTGTATGCATGTAATTTTTCCCTCGGTCCACTTATATGGTGGTAAAGTTTTTTGCACTAAAATTTAGAACATACCACATTTTAGTTTTCTGTTTTCCACTCTCTCTCTCTCTCACTGATCCTTAGAATTAAAACAGGCCATTGTTTGCTGTTCTGTATTTAAAGCTGCATTCCGTAACTTTTTTTGGTTAAAAATGACTCTAAATCAATTATTGAGCAAGTACATAATCAGTGTTCAAGACAAGTCATTTTAGAATGAGTTCTAAGGAACATTAAATTGCTTTTTGAGGTTAAAAGAACAATCCATTTGCGATGACATTTGAATGGTATGACAACTAGAGATTAAACCGTACAGAAATTGAAATCCACAGATAACGCTAATACACACTAAATACACGTAGTCACGCAATGTTGATGTTAATAACATTAACAATTTG